AGTCCTGTGGACAGTCAGGTGTGGCCCAGAATCAAAAGAAAAAAAAGCAGGAGGGCCAGAAAGAGAGGTCAAGAGGCTGCACAGAGGTTGATCCTTGAGACCCCCGTGGTCTGTCAAGTATGGCTAGCAGCTGCCCCCCTAAGCCCCAAGCCAGAGTGGCCCCCGAGCAACTCTGCACCTCGCTTCAGAAGCTGGATTTCCATATTCATGTATCAGTGCATTAAATATTTGTGGACTTTGAGACATAACTGAGCACTTGTAGCATATGACCTGGAAACAGTGAGATCCGGAGCTAGAAGCTGAACTAAGCATTAATCACAAGGCTCACGCTCAGTATTTGATAGTTGATTTATTGCCTTGGAAAGGAGTGTGTGGGGGTGAGTGATAGTCGGCGGGGGGAGGGGGCGGCTTTCCTTGGATGGATGGCCCAGGTTTGGTCCCCAGCATCCTAGAGGGTCCTCTAGCCTTGCTAGGCCTAATTCCTGGGTGCAGAGTCAGAAATAAGCCCTGAGCACTGTCAGGTGTGCCCCCTCTCTAGAGAAAGAGAGGAAAGAAGAAATGGAGGGAGGAAGGGTACTCATGGCATCTCATCTGAGTAGAAAAATGACCAGATTCCCAGCAAATCCAAAAAATCAAATGTTGGCCACTCTCTCAGAGACGTTTATGTCAAGCTTTTCTCCTGCTCCACTTAAGGTCTAAGAGGTGTTTGTGCATGTATTTTAACAGGTCTAATTTTCCCTCAAAACAGTCAGCCTCAGACAAATGACTCCTCTTTCCGAGAGAGGTTTCCAATGTCACTAGTATCCATGACGTGCAGTTTGGGATCACGTCTGTGTTTCAGCCAGATCTCAGAGTTGCATTTGCCCAGATTTCATGGCCTCTTTAGCCTCATTCTTGAAAGAATGCGGATCTTGAAATTCAGAATCACCAAATCCGATGTTCCTCATGGATTATGAACTCGAATTTTTGAAATTTTAGCCAATGTCTGTTTTTTTGTTGTTTTTGGGGTAAGGGGTTGTTGATACCATACCCAGCAATCCTCAGGGCTCACTCCTGGCTCAGGGATCACTTACCAAAGGCTCTGGAAACCATATGGGATGTCGGGGATCGAACCTGGATTGGCCATGTGTAATGCCAGGACCCTCCCCACTGTCCTGACTTCTCTGGCCCTAATGTCTGATTTAAAGTCGAAGTCTGTCTTGTTCTTTGTTGTCGTGTGTGTGTGTGTGTGTGTGTGTGTGTGTGTGTGTGTGTGTTTGGGGCTGAACCTTTTTTTTAATAAATCATTTTTGTGTTAGCTTAGGTAATAGGGTTACAGCCATGATACTGTTTGTGTATTTATCCTGTTTATGTTTTGATGTAGTAAAGTACAAAATTACTGCACCCCTCTACCACAAAGTGCATGCGTGCCTCTAACCCGGTCCCTCTCTCTCTTCTCATCCACCTCCTCAGAATCCTCTGGACTCCAGTTCCAATCCCACTTCCTGTTGAGAAATGACCCAAATAACTTGAACTAAAACACACACACAATTTCATCCACTGCCTCTGATTCCCCTCCTCCTCCCAGCTTGAAAATCTTTTCCCCGCCTGGAGTAAACCCCCTTTTTTCTCTCTCCCAGTTCCACTCTCTAGACCTCAGCCCTCCCCCGGGACCTCAGGCACCCCACGAATGTGTGGCATGTGTCTGCTTCTCATCTCCTCACTTGGGGGCCGCATGGATGGTCAGCTGCTGAGATTCAGAGGTGACACAGGCCAGAGAGCAAGCAGGGTGTCCCACACTTGACACAGCATGAAGGAAAACTGGGCGCCGCCCTCCCAGCCAGCCGCTAAACTGGGCAGTGGCCAGCAGTCATGTCGCTTGGAAGAAGGGAACGTGTTGACGGAGGGCATGAAGGGGGGCAGGGGTCGGTGGGAAAGCTGACCAACTGCATGGGTCTGCCTGTCCTGATACTCGCCTTCTCCAGTGTGATGCGAGTTGCCTCCTCCCATTGTCTTTCCGGATGCTTTCCTTGGGAGTTAACCTTCGGGCTGATGGGCCACTCTGGGTTACTACAGGCATTGGGAGTTGCTCACTGGGAGGTATTCATCCTCATCACTCCCCCTCGGGTGAGCTGACTTGGGCTCTGGGGTCTGCAGCCACGGTAGTTGTTGCTTTTGTCCTCTGCCTACTTGGCACCTCTGAATCCCGAGTCGGAGTGGGTTCGTCTGCTCTTTGCCTTTCTCCGTCTGACTCACCTCACTGAGCAGTACCTTTGGTTGTTTTTTTTTTTTTCAGTTTACAGAATTGGGCAAAATATTTTCTTAATTGAATCACTGTGAGATGCAGAGTTACAAAGCTGTTCATAGCCAGGTTTCAGTCATACAGTGTTGCAACACCCCTAGCTTCACCAGTGAACCTTTCCCAACACCAATGTTCCGGTTTCCCTTCCCCTACCCTCCCCCCAGCCTGTCTCTAAAGCAGGCACTTTCCCTCTCTCTCCTCTGCTTCCTCTTCCTTCCTCTCCCTCTCCCTCTCCCTCTTTTGCTCCCTCTCCCTCACTTCTACTTTTCCTCTCCTCTCTTCCTCCCTTCTCTTCCTCCATCTCCCTCCCTCTCTCTCCCCCCTCTCTCTCCCTCTCTATTTCTCACTCTTTCTCTCTCCCTCTTCCTTTCCCTCCCCCTCTTCCTCCCTCTCTCTCCCCCCCCACACTTTATCCTTCCCTCTTCCTCACCCTCTCCCTCCAATCCCCCTTTTGGGCACTATGGTCTTTAATACAGATACTGAGAGGCTATTGCGTTTGTTCCTTTACCTGTTTCCAGCACGCAGTTCTTATCCAGAGTGATCATTTCCAACTATCTTTGTGATAATGGTCCCTTCTCTATCCCTCTTCCCCAGCTCTTGAGGCAGGCTTCCAACCATGAACCAGTCCTCCTGGCCCTTGGTCTACTGACTTTCAGAATTAGTCTCATGTTTGTTTGTTTTCATATCCCACAAATGAGTGCAATTATTCTATGTCTGTCCCCCTCCTTCTCACTCACTGTCCCCAGTTCCATCCCTCTGATGGCCAAAGGCAAGATTTCCTCTCATGGGGGCTAGAGTGATAGCACAGCACGTGGGACGTTTGCCTTGCATGCGGCCCACCTGGGTTCGATTCCCAGCATCCCATACAATCCCCCGAGCTACGCCAGGAGTAATTCCTGAGTGCAGAGCCAGAAGTAACCCCCGAGCATCACTGAGTGTGACCCAAAAAGCAAAAAAAAAAAAAAAGAAAAAGAAAAAAGATTTCCTCCCACGGCAGATGGCAGATGTCTTCCCAGCATAGCTTCTTTATCCTTGACACTTGGAGTGTTTCTGGATCCAGGCTGTTGTAAATGGCGCAGCACCAAACATAAGTGTGCATATTTGGGTGGGGACGAGAAGGAGGGCTTGAGGGGGATGGGACCACACCTAGTAGTGCTCATGGCTTTATGCCTGGCTTTGTACTCAGAGGTCACTCTCGGTGGTACTCGGAGGACTGTATGTGGTGCCAAGAATGAAACGGGGAAGGCCATGTGCAAGGCAAGCGTGTGGATCCCTACATTCTCTACTGCCCCTGTGTTTGTCTTTTTCAGTTTATGGTGTTCTGTGGTTGACCACGAGAGTTAGAATTGCCACATCATGGTAGATGCATTTGTAATATTTGAGAAATCTTTTGCTCTCTCTTCCAGAGATGCTGGACCAGCAGCCAATGAGGGGGTCCTTTCTTTCCCTGTACATCCTTGGCCATAGCTTGTTTGGGTACCTGTGGAGAGGAGCTGTTCTTCCTAGCATCATTATTGTCTCATTCTCTCAGGTGTCAGAAGTGATGCTCAGCTTGAGAACGCCATGTACCTACTGGCCATTGCAAGTCTATTAGATTAAATTGACACACAATGTGAAGATCTCTTTAACTCTTCTCCCCTTTTTGATGGGGCTGTTTTCTTGTGGTTGAGTTTGATGAGTTGTCAGGAAGTGTGTGTGTGTGTGTGTGTGTGTGTGTGTGTGTGTGTGAGAGAGAGAGAGAGAGAGAGAAAGAGAGAGAGAGAGAGACAGAGAGAGAGAGTGCACGTGTGCGCATGTGTGCACATGCTTCATGGACCCCTTCATGCCATCTGGCTTGGTTCTAGGAAGATGTTCTCTGGTACCTTCTCTTCTCCCCTCCTCCCCATCTTCCGCAGCCACTTCCCTGTTATCTTGGCAGCAGCTAAAAATATAACTGGTTTACATCTCTGGAGCACTGCTCAACTCCAGGTGTGGTAGTATTAGTTGGTGAAATACTACCACAACTATGGCCAGGTGTGGTAGTATTGGTTGGTGAAAGCCTGATTTGACTGTTTCCACGCGCATCCAGAAAGTGAACCACCCCAAGTGCCATCCAGTGTACATGGGGTAACCCCGTGAGCCCTGAGCACACACAGAGTGATCAGGTAGCAAGATAGTTTGGCTACACAAATTGTGAAGATTTTTATTTTGCTTTGGGGTCACATTCAGTGGTGCTCAGGCTTACTCTTAACTCTGTGCTCAGGGGTCACTCCTGGCAGGTTCAGAAAACTATCTGGGGTGCTGGAGATTGAACTTGGGTCAGCCATGTACATGACAAGCACCCTACCCACTGCATAATGACTCTGTCCCTGAAGAAGTTCATGGAGGCATTTCCCAAGGCAAAATCCCCAAATGGGTTTAGTTCAGGAAATTATATGACTGTCATTTCCTGGGATGAGTATGGAAAGGGACAGCAAATTATCTGGATGCCTAAAACCTGAATTATGCATTCGAATTCCATCTCTTAATTGGAGTGTGTTTTGAATTTGGGTGTTCATATGTTTTTTAGTTAAAGTATTCTCTGAATTTAGAATGTTTCAAAGTGCATGAACTTCGTGGCGTGAGGTGGGGGAGGTATGGAAGGAAGACAGAGGAGTGCGCGCATTAGGTCGACCTTCACCCGTGACTCGCGTTTTAACCAGAATCTGTGTCTTGACAATGCGCTTCTCCCATTCCACAGGCATTTCCTATTCAAAACAGGAACAGGGACGACGCCGCTGTTCAGTACTGCAACCCCGGGCTACACAATGGCTTCTGGCTCCGTCTATTCGCCGCCGACACGGCCACTGCCCAGAAACACCCTATCAAGAAGTGCATTTAAGTTCAAGAAGTCTTCGAAGTACTGTAGCTGGAAGTGCACAGCGCTGTGTGCCGTAGGGGTCTCTGTGCTCCTAGGAATCCTCCTGTCCTATTTTATAGGTAAGAACCTGGACTTGACCTTGCTTTCTCTGCCCAGTGGGCCTGGGGTATTGTTGTGGTGTTGTTTTTCACTTCACGTATTTGACCATGATGTCTCTTACAAGGTGCCATTTTATTGAGGAGAGGCAGTCTTTTTTTTTATTTTTGGCAATTTGGAGTCACATCTGCCAATGCGCGGGGGTTACTCCTGGCTCTGCAGTCAAGAATCTCTCATGGTAGTGCTCGGAGGACCCTATGGGATGCCAGGAATCGAACCCGGGTTGGTGGCATGCAAGGTAAATGCCCTCCCCACTGAAATATGGCTCCGGCTTCCCAGCTCTGCAGTCTTGTGAGTTTTAGCCTCCGTATAAAATCCATATTTGCATCAATTCTGCGCTCCAAATGATGTTCTTCCTGCACGTCTGATCTAACCCACACAAAATGTGGCTGGCTCTGTGGCATTTCACGTACCTCCCTGGCAGGATTGAGCACCCTGCAAGCATCGCCTGCCAGAACGCAGCCCCTGGGGAATTCTCTGCTCCGCATGATGTTCCAAACCATGTCTTTTAGCCAACGCAGCTATCTCGGGGGGCCCCAGCTCATCACTCTTGGCCCCCACCTCACGCTCTCCAGGGGTGCTCTCTGGGGGATCCATAAAACAGGATCCATAAAACATCCATAAAACAGGGGATGGATGTAGTCGTGCTCACCTATGTGAATTTTTTTCATCCTTTCTCATGTAGTATCGATCACGCTTTTTTCATTCACTGGTAACCCAAATGAAAGAAGGACGCTGCTAAGAGAAGTTGTAAATATTCCTCTGAGTTAACCGTTGCCTCCCCGGAAGGAGCCCTCAAGCCCTTGGCAGTGGCTCTGACTTAGAGTTTGATCTACTTCTCAGTGGACAGCTAGACCTGCCTCAGCACTTGGCCTGTGCTGTCCAGCGAGCTAACTCATGCGCCATGTGACATATTCAGCCAGCCAGTAGCTGGCCAGGTATGGTTCCTCCAGAATGCTCCGTGATGCCCTGAGTACTAGTGCATCTGGAAAAGAGCATCAGGCAGGGGGTTTTAGGCTCAATGGTGCTTTGCTCACCAACAAGTTTCCACCTTTGCCTTCAACATGCCTTGGTGGTAAATTGGGACTGAGCCAATGTGGTCGAGGTACCGCATTTAGGAGGAAAATGGAATTTTAGAGCCACCAGGTTCTGTGGCTTCATCCACTCAGGGAAGGACTGTAGGAGATACGTGACACAGGATTACTTCCAACTCAGGTCACGTGGCAGACATGGCTAATGACCTAGGGCATCCTTGCCCCCCAAACCTGGGATGGCCTCAATGTCTCCTCAGAGAGCTTCTTCCTGTACCCTGGGTTCCCCAGCAGAAGTGAAAGCAAGTGGAAGCCCTTTTGTTCTTCTCCATCTCAGTTAACTCCCTCCTTGGGAAAGTGGTCCAATCAGGTATCAATAATCTCGTCCCTTGGCTGAAACCACACATGCTTCGGACTGTCTGCATCTGGGTCGCAGGGCCCCAGGTCAGTGGAGATTGTTCCTGCATCTGGAGTCAGCTGTTCTAAAAGAACCAACTCAAGTTAGCACCATCCATTATTTGTATATGCCTGCAGTGTGCTGAGGAATTGCTATGTGGTTCTGAAATGCAGTGCATGTCATGAAATATACCCCAGCTGCAAATAGGATGTAATCCATTAATCATGCATAGCTGGAGATGATTTGGGGTTTTTTGTTTGTTTGTTTGTCCTTTTGGATCACACCCAGCAGTGCTCAGGGGTTACTCCTGGCTCTGCACTCAGGAATCACACTTGGCATATGGGATGTCAGGCATCAAACCCAGGTTGGCTGTGTGCAAGGCAAACACCCTCCCCTCTGTACTATAGCTCCAGCCTCCTAGAGATGATTTGTTTTGAAATACAGTGTATACCAATCCCCCAGATAAACATGTCAGGGCCAAAGTCTGTGTCTTCATTGGTGGTGGTGCTTGGGCATCCCTCCCGGCACCAAGTCCTCTATCTTACCAGTTGAAGATTTGGGTTTTTCATTTCAGTTTTGGGGCCACATCTGGATGTTCTCAGGACTTACTTCTGGCTCTGTGCTCAGGGATCACTCATGGCAAGCTTTAAAGACTACATGTGGTGCTGGGGATTGAATCCAGGTCAGCAAAGCAAGGGCTCTACCCATTGTACTAACTCTCTGGCCCCTGTTGAAGATTTTGAATATTATCTCTGATGCCAATGAATGACCCTTGTATTCTGTGCCTGACAGGAAAGAGTATTTCAGAGCGAGGTTTGATCCCTGTTGCTTGTGAAGCCAGTGCTTTTTTTTCAAGGATTCATAGGTGAATAGTCACATATCAGAATTCTAAGTAAAATCAAAACATTACCTTCTTCTCTACCCCAAAATGCCTGTTTTTGCTGCTGCCTGATTCTGACTCACACCACAAACATAAATGTCTCACTTTGGTTTTATTTTCTCCCACATGGCAACATACAGATGATGCAGTTAATATACCTCTGAGCTCTAGTCAATTCAGCAGCTACTTATTGAGCATTTTTTATGATCTAGTTATTGTGCTAGAAATTACAGCGATGCCATCCAAGTGTTATCTGGCTAGAATTACTTCTCTCATCAAAGAATTATCTCCTGATTCCGTTGCGTTCATTCTGCACAGATCAGCTTAGAATCAGCATTGTTCTTCACGTGCTCCAGTGACCATCCTATTCCTGGGATGATTTTGTGTGTGTGTGTGTGTGTGTGTGTGTGTGTGTGTGTGTGTGTGTGTGTGTGTGGCATGTATTAGGGACAGAATTTAATTTCTTCACCAGGTAACCCAAGAGCTCCCACCTGTGCCCTTGAACAGCCAGAGTGGGAGCTTGTTGACTGAGTGTATAAGGCAGGGATACAGAGAACAGGGCAGATGCGCCTGCTGAACTCCAGAAAGAAGGGCAGAGCAGCGTCAATGGCAGCCCAATCTCTAATAAAAGTGCTGCCCTCTTGAGCCTGTTCTCTCATCCCCTTCTCTCTGGCCCACCAGCAGGGAAAGCCAAAGTAAAACAAAACCTTGAGGCAATCTCTCCTGGGGAATTTTCTGGCTTACTCTTCCGGTCAGGGGAAAAGAAGGAGGGAGAAGAACGCTGAAGGTGTTTGTGCAAGAAGACTTTCTATGAAATGATCCAGGTGAATAAGCAATGGGGGAGAAAATAGGGGGAGAAATGCTTTCTAGGTACACCAGAAACTCAAGGCAGGCCTATGAGAAAACGAAAATTGATTCCCAAAGATGACCACTACAAAGCATTTGCCTTGCTTTTCCATGCTTATACGCTTGAATAGATTATCTTAGTCTAGTAGCTGTATTATATTAGCTGTATTGTATTATATTAGTTCTGTGGCAGTTTATGCTATATATTATATGGACATCATGAACACAGAGTCTCTATAGTTAAAATTTCATGGTTCTCAATGCATCTGTACCAGGCTTTCTCACTTGGCATTCAGTAAACATTTTGTGTATATTATTTTAGTGACATTTTTAAGCCCCTTCCCCAAAATTCAGTACCACTTCCTGTGCAGGTCATCATGAGTTGCTGTATGCGAGTATATTCACTGGATTTTGTATTTGATCAAAATCAATTCTTAGAAAGATATGGCTTGAACAGAAGCGTGGGTATGTTTCAAATTTGTCAAAACCATGGGCCAAATTCTGCTTCCATCTGTACAATGACCAATACTGCTTTTAAACCTCTGTAAATCTCTTCAGTTAAATCATTTCATTGTTTTAGGTTATGGTGAGTGGTGCTGAGTATCTTTTCATTTATTCACTGGCCATGTGTGTATTCGTGTGTGTGTGTGAGAGAGAGAGAGAGAGAGAGAGAGAGAGAGAGAGAGAGAAAGAGAGAGAGAGAGGAGAGAGAGAGAGGGAATGTGTAACCTTGTTCTATGCCCCAATTTTCTCTTGAGGTTTTTGTCTTTTTAATTTAAATGTATAAATATGTCCTTATTTTGGACATGTATAAGTTGTCACATGTTACATTTTTCCAATTTACTACTGGGGTCCATAATTGGTTTTCCCAAATGCAGGTACTATTTTTGCATAATGAGAGTTATCATTCTCGTTGCTCAATCCTCATGTCAGGCCCATAAGCTCCTTATTTGCTCTATATCATTCTTTGAGTTTCCTCTGATTTTCTTCTGGTGCTCTCTGGGTTTGGAATCGAGGATTGAATGAGCTCATTGTTCTGGCTGTCCCCAGACCAAGGCAAGACACAATGCAGAGTCCCTCCTCACAGCCCCCGCCCTCGCTGCAATTCTTCTCACTGGAACTGCATGGAGAGACGGCAGAAGAGCAGTAGTGTCTCTGGTCCTGTGGGCGGAAGCCTGAAGCCAGCAGGTGCTGGCCAAGAGAAGGCGGGTGATGTTAGTGCATCGTGCTTGATGGCCAAGTGTTTCATAGATGGTCATCTTGGAAAGGGATTTCCCCACCACCACCACCAGGGTGTGAAGTCAGGAATAGCCTAGGGGCAGGGAGCACCCATGAACTACAGCAACTCATGTCCCCCAGACTTGTCTTGAGTCAAGTGCATGTTCAAAGCCACAGGTGAATTCCATCGCTTCATTGACCCGACCCAATCCCTCTCATCACTCTCTTCTCCATTGACCTAGTAGGATTCTGTGGCTCTAAGCACCACAACCCCTGGAGTGGCCCAGACAGTAAAGCAAGATTCTGTTATTATTTCCTGTAGATTTCTGATCTACCAGTGAAAATTCTTCTTGAACACATCTCCTGTATAAGCTGATAGTCCTTGATCCGTGGACAGTTGTGCAAATTCCTCAACACAAATGTTGAAGCTTGATCATCATGGTGATGGTGATGGAGACCCATCCACCTGCCCCCCACATACACCTCTACCAAACAAAAATCAGAGAATTCACAGCCTACTTATTCTGAGCTCTGGTTTTCTCTTTCTTCTTTGTCTTTCTGTTGTCACATTTGAAAATTATAAAGATGACC